GCCCCACTGTGATGAACTTTTGTTTGTTAAGTCTGGCATGACATCTGTCTCCCCCCCCCAGCGCGTGGAAGATCGGTGGCGGGCTGCTGATCCTGGTGGTCTGCGCCATCAACATGTATTTTGTGGTGGTGTATGTGACCGGCCTGGGCAGCGTGCTGCTGTACGTCCTGGCTGCCCTGCTGTCCGTGGCTTACCTGGTCTTCGTGGGCTACCTGGTGAGTGAGTCAAGGCCCCAGTGCAGTGCGCTGGCCTTCATCGCTCTTCCCCCTGTGGAGTTTACGGCTTCCCCAGATCTTTATCAAGCTGTGGCCTGTCTGTGTTGGTGTGTGTTGCATTGATCAGCAGGTGCACATGTGTGTGGCGTGTCTGTGCTGTGTGTTACTGTGATCAGCAGGTGCACATGTGGCATGTCTGTGTTGGTGCATGTTGCTGTGATCAGCAGGTACGTGCTTGTGGTATGTGTGTTGCTGTGATCAGTGCACACGTGTGTGGCGTGTCTGTGTTGGTGCGTATTGCTGTGATCAGCATGCACACACGTGTCCTGTGTCCTGTGATGCTGCATGTGGAGGTGTCTGAGTGTCGTGCATGTTCTCCTCCTGAATCACAGCGGCCTGTGTTGGTTTCTGTTCCCTGCAGGCCTGGCAGTGCCTGATCGTGCTGGGAGTGAAGTGTCTGGACGTGGGCAGCAGGGTAAGGAACATGCCAGGGGTCCTTATCGAGGAGCCGTCCGAGTCAGACGCTTAACCTGCACCGTGGCGGGCTGCCGGGCTCGGACCAGGGGGGCGCCGGATCTCTCCGAGGCTGCTGGGATAAAGGATGCTTTGTGTGGTGGGGTGGGGCTCAGCCTGTTTTCATCAGCTCCACCCCCCCATACACACAATTGCACCCTTTGGGCTGATCTTCGGTCTGCAGGAGAGTTAGCTCTTGCTTGTAGCCTCCATAAAATGGGCCCTGGTCATGATTTTCCCTACATGTTTAACTTTCCAAGTTAGCTCTGTTGTCAAGGCTTGTGACGGGAACACCCAGGACTCCCGTCAAATCGGTGATTTAATTTTGACCTGTTTGTGTCGCCGCCTTGCCAGCCTGCCAGGCCCTGGATGCCCCTGTCCTGGGTTCAGTTCTAGTCTCAGCTCTCCCAGCTGGGTCCCTTCCTGAGCTCTTCCTCGGAATAGGGGCGTTCTTGATCAGCTGGAGCTGGAACAGGAGAAGGCTCAAGGTGGTGTTATGGGTTGGCACGGCCTGTGTGCCTGCCAGAAGCAGGTTTTAGGGCTGCGTTTTTATTTGATGGGGTGTAGGCTGTGTGCTCGACTGAAGGAATGGGCCCGGCAGGGCTCTCTCCAACACTGTATTTCTCAGCCAAGTGTCTGCTTTTAGCATTTTTTAATTGAAATTATTTTGTTTCAGGGGGGTTTCATCCCTTTCAGGCTAGGGGGCCCTATTTGAACAAAATCCCTCAAACTATACAGAACCTCTAGCTGGCGTCTGCAGTGATTACAAGCTGTGCTGCAGGAAGAGTTGTGGGTGAACAACTCCTTAGTCAGAGTAGAGCAGATTTCACTGCTAGACTGCAGGCGAAGAGGTCCTCAATCAGAGCGGATTTCTCTGCCAGACTGCAGTGGGTTGTTTTTTTTACAGTCTCTAGACATCTCTGAAGATCCCCTGGGGTTCCCAGATGCCTGGTTGCGAATCCTTAATTGATTTGTGGGGTTTATATTAACTACACTTCAGTCTGAGTGTTTTGTTTTTTTAATTTGGGGAGAGGGATTGCTTGAACAAGGGTCCCCATCAGCTGTACAGGTCAGGGATAACTGACAATCAGGAGACATTTAATTGTGAGTCGTTAAGTCTGTAATATGCTCCATCGATAAGGGTGAAACACAACAAACCAGCAACACGGTAGCCTTCTGGGAATGGGAAGGGGGTTCAAGGCTCCTCCCCAGCTCGGACCCTGGGCTCTGGTGGAGACGGAACCCCACTCCTGCAGCCTAGCAGACACACTGTTGCTTATTTGTTGTCCTCACGAATAATTCTCCGTTGCCCCTCTCTGTAGCCCCTAGATCATTTTAAATCGGGTGTTCGTGTTGTGGTTCGGTCAGATCAGAAGTCTGGACCAGCTCCCTGTCTGCCCAGACCCGGATCTGGGAGACGCCAGTTAATGAAAACACAGTATTCCCGCCGATAAGATATTCAACTCAGGGGCTTCTGGTTTGATGTGAAATAGCAGTTTTTTTGTCCTTTTATGTGGCGTTCCTCTGCCCACACAGCTGTCTGCATGCTCTCACGTTGTGAATTTTGGTTTAGTTCTCTCGGATCTCCTCCAGCTCTCCTCCATGGAGCCTCCTAGCAGGAAGCTTAGTTTTCGTGGCAGTTACCCCGGGCCCCCTGGTGGCGGCCCGGGGTAACTGCAGAGCTTTAAACGGCTCGTGTCAGAGCCGTCAACCTCCCTGCCTGTGTCCTCAGGCTTCCTGCACTCTGCTGCTGTGGAAATGATCCATCAGCCTTCCTGTGTGTCATATTCTAGTATTTGAAATGTATTTCACTGGAGATCTGTCCCTTTGATGCAGATGGTCTGACAGCACTTTGACGGGTTTTGTACTCGTATTGCACAGTATTTTTTTTTCTTTGTCCGTTGGTATGATTAAGATTTTGAAAGAAGTTGACAATCAAAGCACATCCGTTACAGCTGACATTGTTTTATTGCTGGGAGTTTTAATATTGTTTCAGTGCTGGTAAGGCCACACATTCCATAGGCACGAAGTAAGAGAAACATGTCTCTAGTGTTTAAGCTGAGTTGACAATATTAAGATACATTTCTGCATGAGCTTTTGAGTGGGGGCTGATGGTGCCTCTTCCTGGCTTCCCTCTGCTGGAGCTGTGCATGTTCTGTACGATTTTACAGGGTTTAAAAGGTTTTTCTGGAGAACTGAGCAGCCTGTCTGGACAACACGACTGTAAAAGATCGTGTGGATTCATTCAGTCTCTACCTCTGAGATCAGCTTGGCCATCTGTGTCTTGCAGGCCCAAACGTAGGTCCTCACACAGGAAGTCAATATTTAATTTCAAAGGTGTGGTATTAGGGTAACAGCTCACCTGTGTGTGTGTGTAGGCGCTGTGTACTGGGTCGCTCAGGAACAGTGTGACCCAGTGGTGTGAGCAGACCAGCCTCAGTGTTCCCTGTGCAAAAGAGGAATTGGGACACTACTGTGGTGCTGGTGTGTTAATGCTGGCAGCGAAATCCTATGCTTCCAGTGGTCTTGTCTTCTTGCAAAGCATTGTGGTATAGTGGAGGACTCAGCAATGTCCAGCTAACCTAATTAGGTCTTCAGTTGTGTTCTCCTCCCCTTCCTGAGCAGTACTCAGACTTGGGGGTTACAGCTCAGTGTTCAATTGTGTTTGTGGTGGGTTCAAACTGAGTTATTAGTCCGTTCAAACCAGGTTTAAAGTCAAATGTAAAACACTAATGAAGACAGGGTATGAAATTGGCACCCTTAAAGGCACATGTGCCTCTTTGGATGTGCAGGTGTGCAGATTTCTTATTTGTTTAAATGAGTGCGAGCAGGAATGTACTGGAGAGATGGGGAGGAATGGCAGAGATGGGACTGGGATGGGTGGGGTTTTGGCAGTGGGATAGATTGCGATGGAGCAGGTTGCAATAGGAATAAAATGGGAGTATGTTCTATGAATGTGACAGCATTCAGGCTGGTCAGCTTCATTTTAATCATGGGATTTTAATCTGTATCAATGTTTTTTTTATCGTGTGGACACGTACAGTGTGTCCACCATGGTTCTCGATCATGTGTGATCCTGTATGATGTGTCATGTCGGCTGCCCTGATCATAGGGTGCAGTCGATGCCTGTAACCAGTGTTAAAATTAAAATCGACCGAACAGCCCACGTGGGAGAAGAAAGATAATTTTATAATAACCCATCAATAATCAGCACAGATAAGCTCCTGTACAGTGATTTTCTTACTTCTGGATGACGACTGTACACAAATAAAGAACACCAGTGTGTGCATTGAACCGGTGTGTCTGTTTCTGCTGTGCTGTGTGGCCATGTGGTA